GACCTGTTCTATTGTCTTTATTTATAACTTCATGCTGAATGCCTTTTATACATTTACTGTTTCCAACCCTAGTGTTGCAACCTGCTTGTTTCCCACACACACCCATACCTCTATCTTCCATCAGTTTAAAATCATAGGCATTTCACCAATGGCCTTCTCAATCGAGTCTGCAAGTGCTACCACCCCTGCCCCAGAGAGATGTACCCCATCCCTTGCATACATATCATGTTTGCCATAAAACTTGTTCCAGTTGTCAATGAATGGGATTGCAAGTTCCTTGCAGTATCTGTCTAGCCAGCAATTTACACCAATTGCCCTAGACAACCATTCATTTCCTACTCCCCTTCTAGGCAAGATGCTACATATGATTGGGATCCCTCCCTTAGACTTAATGAAATCTATAGCTGACCTGTACTTATCTAGCAGCTCTTCTCTCCTACCCTTCCCAATATCATTTCCACCAGCACTGAGACAGATAATGGGCTTGTTCCCATTACCTGACATGATATTATCCAGCCTGTTGACAATGTCCCCAACACCAGCTCCAGGGAAGCACACTCTATCTCTCATCTTCTTATTCCTATTACAAAAAGCACGGTCATATATCTTACCTGAGAGTCACCAACCACAAGAATGCGCTTACCTTCATTAGCAGGGGCAGTAGTACCCTTACCTTCACTGGCCACTGAAGTACATTCATCCTGGAGAACAGAGAAGCGATTTCCTACCTTCAGATCTTCACTCTTAACTTTCCTTACTCTGATGCGCCTCCCATTACTGTGAACAACTCGCCACTTGTAGCAGGGTGCTGGGCTGCACCTCACTGCTGGTAGCCGTTGCTACCTCCCCAACTACAGCCTCATCACAGCGAGAGACAGACTGCACCTCACTGCTAGAAGTCTCATTCCCCACAACGTACTTGTCTCACACGGAGAAAATAAAATAGAAGGGAATAATATGTATATATATATAGGAATATATATATATAGGAATATATATATATATATATATATATATATATATATATATATATATATATATATATATAGGAATATATATATATATATATATAATATATATATATATATATATATATATATATATATATATATATATGTCGTGCCGAATAGGCAGAACTTGCGATCTTGGCTTAAATAGCAACGCTCATCTTGCCATATAGGACAAGCGAAAATTTGTGTATGCAATAATTTCGCCAAAATCATTCTGAACCTAACGAAAAAAAAATATTTCACTGTGTTTGTTTAGTATTAAATTACTGTAAACAAATCTAAAATATATTTAGTTGGGTTAGGCTAAAATAAATTGTTCATGTTACAATAAGGTTAGGTAAGTTTTCTAAGATTCTTATGGAGCAAAATTAAAATTTTTTACATTAACATTAATGAAAAAAATATATCTTTAAACGTATAAGAGAACATTTTAGAAAGCACTTAATTTTAAATGAGTTCTTGCTAATTGACCAGTTTTACATATTCGGCACGACATATATATATATTTATATATATATATATATATATATATATATATATATATATATATATATATATATATATATATATATAAAACCTAACACCCTGTCGGTATTTTATGCCATTTTAATATTCACTCTCTCAGACACTGCAACACAATGGTATATTGGTACACCAAAATAGGCCGTCGAATTCATTCTGACGAGGACACTAGAGCACTCCAGGAAGATTTGAATAGACTGATGCAGTGGTCGGAGAAGTGGCAGATGCAGTTAAATATAGACAAATGCAAAGTTCTAAATGTTGGACAGGAAAATAGCCATACCACATATAAACTAAATAATGTAGATCTTATTATTACTGATTGCGAAAAAGATTTAGGAGTTCTGGTTTGCAGTAATCTGAAACCAAGACAACTGTGCATAAGTGTTCGCAATAAAGCTAACAGAATCCTTGGCTTCATATCAAGAAGCATAAATAATAGGAGTCCTCAGGTTGTTCTTCAACTTCTACTAGTGAGAACGGCTGGATTTGAGAGGGACCTGACCTCCCAAAGTGACCTACGTCTCACCTCCTGGCGCTATATAAGGCTCCATCCTGTCCATTCAACTTCATATTGTTTCAGACTTTGGAACAATGCTCTTCTCCAGACTGAGGGACTGACCACCTCAAAACTTTAAGGGTGATGGACTGATTACATCGTCTTCAAGTCTCTTCTGCTTCTATCAACTTTTCTGTACTCGACTGAAGAAGCCTACTGTGTAGGCGAAACGTTTCAAAATAAAGATACCTAACCGTTGCATGTGTGTCTTACCTAACAACTTGTCGGTATTTTATACCATTTTAATGTTCACAAGTGAGAATGGTTGAATTTGAGAGGGACGTAACCCCTCAATGATTACATTCTTTCTTCTACTAGTGTACACACCTCACCTCCTGACAGTATATAACGCTCCATACTGTCACTTCAACTTCACATTGTTTCAGACTATGGAACAAATACGCTTCTCCAGGCAGAGGGACTGACCACCTCAAAACTACGTCTTCAAGGGTGATGGACTGATTACATCGTCTTCACATCTCTTCTGCTTCTACCAACTTTTCTGTATAGGACTGAAGACGCCTACTGTGTAGGCGAAACGTTTCGAAATAAAGATACCTAACTGCTGCATATGTGTCTTGTAATAAACTTGGTAGAATTACCGACAATATGTAAAGTAAAAGGACACAAGTGCAACTAATGCCCTTTTACTTTACATATGTGTCTTACCGATCAACGTTTTCCAGTGCATTTATATCAATTCTGTAATACGGTAACCAGAACTATGCACCATAATCAAAATGAAGCCTAACCAAAGATATATAGAGTTGAAGAACAACCTGAGGACTTCCATTATGCTTCTTGATATGAAACCAAGGATTCTGTCGTCTTGGTTTCTGATTACTGCTAACCAGAACCCCTAAATCCTTTTCGCAATCAGTAATATTAAAATCTACATTTAGTTTATATGTGGCATGGTTATTTTCCTGTCCAACATTTAGAACTTTGCATTTTATATTAAACTGCATCTGCCACTTCTCCGACCACTGCATCAGTCTATTCAAATCTTCTTGGAGTGCTCTAGTGTCCTCATTAGAATGAATTCAATGGGTGAAGCTACAGTACTTATGTTAACAGGTCCTGAAGATCAAGCGACAGTGCGGAGACTTAAATACTGTCGGAAGGAGAGGTGCAGAGTAGTGGTAGTAGTGAGAATGTAGCCACTGAGAGGTCAGGTCCCTCTCAGATCCAACAGTTCTCACTTGAAAGGGTTGTCCAAGGTGTTTTCTGTACCAAGAGGCCATGTGTTGCAGTGTCTGACAAGATGAACATCAAAATGGTATACAATACCGACAGGTTGGTAGGTAAGACACATAGGCAACAGTCAGGCAACTTTATTCCGAAACGTTTCGCCTACACAGTAGGCTTCTTCAGTCGAATACAGAAAGTAGGCAGGAACAGTAGAGATGTGAAGACGATGTAATCAGTCCATCACCCTTGAAGTCGTAGAATTTGAGGTTGTCAGTCCCTCAGCCTGGAGAAGTTCAGTTCCATAGTCAGGAACTATCTGAAGATCAAGCGACAGTGCGGAACTATCTGAAGATCAAACGGCAGTGCGGAGACTTAAATACTGTCGGAAGGAGAGGTGCAGAGTAGTAGTAGTAGTGAGCGTGATGAATGGTTTGAAAAACCGACAAGTTGAAGATTGAGACACTTATGCAACATATGGGAATCTTTATTCAGGAAACGTTTCGCCACACAGTGGCTTCATCAGTCCGATACAAAGTAGAAAGGCGTATGGATGGTACCACTATGACCTCACCTCCTCCTGCTTCGCCTCACCTCACTACAGTATATAAGCCACGTCTACGGCCCTATGCTGTACATTCTACAAGATTGATGGACTGAACACATCGACTCCAGGCTGAGGGACTGATTACCTCAAACTCCTCCTCTCCTTACGCCTTTCTACTTTGTATCGGACTGATGAAGCCACTGTGTGGCGAAACGTTTCCTGAATAAAGATTCCCATATGTTGCATAAGTGTCTCAATCTTCAGTAGTAGTGAGAATGTAGCTGAACTTCTCCAGGCTGAGGGACTGACAACCTCAAATTCTACGACTTCAAGGGTGATGGACTGATTACATCGTCTTCACATCTCTACTGTTCCTGCCTACTTTCTGTATTCGACTGAAGAAGCCTACTGTGTAGGCGAAACGTTTCGGAATAAAGTTGCCTATGTGTCTTACCTACCAACCTGTCGGTATTGTATACCATTTTGATGTTCATCTTGTCAGACACTGCAACACATGGCCTCTTGGTACAGAAAACACCCTGGACAACCCTTTCAAGTGAGAACTGTTGGATCTGAGAGGGACCTGACCTCTCAGTGGCTACATTCTCACTACTACTACTACTCTGCACCTCTCCTTCCGACAGTATTTAACAGGTCCTGTTCACGCGCTAGACTCACTGGAGTGTTCCTATTATGAGAGAGAGGACAGCTGTAGCCAGCTCTCAGCAATTTAAGGATCTCTGGCATTGGCAATGCTTTTTAATGACAAGACAGCCCATGCAGCGGTGCGGAAGGCAGAGAATGTAATGAGGCAGAGAGTTGCTCTCACAACTGAGACTATAATGACGGTTTCCGCTGCTCTCACGGCAAGACGAATGACTAGCCGCATCCTGTCTTAAAACGTGAACAACTGTTAGTTGTTTTTGATGAGTCCGAGAAGGATTGTCAGCATGGGGCAGTGAGCCTGCTACAGTGCTCCTCTATACTACCATATGTTCTTTAAGTGGGTAGCACGTGACAGCCGTTTCCAATATGAGTAATATCCTGTCTGCCAAGATTCAAGAGTCTGAATATGCTGCAATTGCCAGACTTCTGAAGGATGGTAATGATGACAGCAACTAAGGTAACCTCAATATACTTTCGTCTGCGTAAATCAACTTCACGAATAACTAACTTGGCCTAATTCTCCTTCATAAAATGTCCCCCATCGTCTGTGTTGAACATAGGCGTTACTACGGTCGTCATGGCTGCAGGCACAGGTGTGTGCAGGTGCAGGCGTGTTCACGGATTCTAAGCCCCCAGAGATCTTGCTGTTTCCCTTACCACACCTCCCCACATGCATTACGCATACCTTTGTTAGTAATAGTCGCTCTTGTGCTTCTGCACTAAGTTTTAATTGAAGTCGAAAAGTTAGTGGCTATTTTAAGAATATTATCAAGTAGGCTGAACACGTCGGTTGTCACATTGCTGGCGGCAGAGCGAATTCTGTGTGGTTCTCCATGATGAGATTAAGACACATGTGCAACATCTGGGTATCTTTATTGTAGACGTTTCGCCATCCAGTGGCTTTATCAATACAAATTCTAGGACATAACTTGAAGACAGTAGAACTATGTACAGAAGATGAGGTAATCAGTCCCTCAACCTAGGAGTAGGTGCGAAGAGCACCATAGTCGTGGAGATTCTCCATATTGTTTGATCTAGGATTCCGAGGATGTGTCGCACGTTTCCTGCAATCTCGAGGATTTGTGGACTGAGAATTTCATAAACTCCGAGGAAGAGTCCTATAACTGCTCCTCTTTTAGTTCTGTTACAGAGGAGATCCAACAAATTGTATTTTTAAGTTGATATACGTTAAGCTTTAAACGAGTCCGCTTTCGGCTTCGAGTAGTAGCATGTCAAGAAACGGTCGTTGCATATCCTCCTCTAGAGTGAACTTAAGAGTAGGTTCCAGTGTTGGTGTCGAGGATGTCACACAACTCAAGACTATGACTATGACTTAAAATGTCCACGTACCGCATCCAAGTAACTTATCAGGGGATGGTATTTTCAGATCTGGCTGGATTCTAGATCATCCATATAAACTGGCTAAGGCTGCACACTACAGTTGAGCCCATGTTTAGCTCCAACAGTTGCTTGTATATACGCCCTTCAAATCTAAAGCAGATATAACGTATGCATAGCTCGACTAAATCCACAAAATCTTGGCAAAACACAGGCAACTCTGTCTCATCAATAATCACCCTGCGTAGAAGGTTAATGTCTTGGTCAACCGGTACATTTATGAATAAGGCAGCGAATTTAAGATCCCTTGCACGGCTGAGGTCAACCGAGTGTTTCAGATGAGCTTGAATAATCGTATCCACAAGTTTCGATAAATGTTTCATAGAAACTTGTGTGGGGCGCTACCAATATCCGACGTGATCGGTCTCGTATACACACCGCGTTTGAGTCATAAAACATCACTGATTTGGGATTGGTAGGGAGAAGGTACAAGAGTTTTTTTGCACTCTGATTTCCCGAGTATGCTACGAATCTTGGCTAAGAAAGGAATTAGTTTCCTTTTCCCATACATGTTCGGATTTAGTAAGTGTTGGCGTCGCCTAGTGGTCTGTACGGTTGAGGATGGCCACTCTTATCTGCTCTGGTGACGAAAATGTCGTTACTAGCCGCAAGGTTTATCAGTGCCTGGATCCAGCGTGGAACATCAGGATGACTAGTTCCATAATGAATGCAGAAATAAGTCCTTATATAAAACCTTTATGAAACTCAAAGACTTGCCAAAATGGTGGACTCTGATTTCCGTATCCAGTTCGTGATAAGTTATCTGTGTCCGCGTGACGAACTTGAGAACCAGGTTGAATGAACTGGGTTGTCACAGTCTACCTGGATACCTGGAGGTTATTCCGGGGATCAACGCCCCCGCGGCCCGGTCCATGACCAGGCCTCCCGATGGATCAGGGCCTGATCAACTAGGCTGTTACTACTGGCCGCACGCAGTCCAACATACGAGCCACAGCCCGGCTGATCCGGCACTGACTTTAGGTATTTGTCCAGCTCTCTCTTGAAGGCAGCCAGGGGTTTATTGGCAATTCCCCTAATGCTTGATGGGAGGCTGTTGAACAGTCTTGGGCCCCGGGCACTTATGGTGTTTTCCCTTAGTGTACCAATGGCGCCCTTACTTTTTATTGGGGGCATTTTGCATCGCCTGCCCAGTCTTTTACTTTCGTAGGGAGTGATTTCTGTGTGCAGATTTGGGACCATTCCTTTCAAGATTTTCCAAGTGTACAAGTCAAGTGCTTCCAAGCGTTCCCAGTAGTTAAGGTGCTTGACAGAACTTATACGTGCAGTAAAGGATCTCTGTACACTCTCTAGATCTGCACCTAGTTGGGTATTACATAAAAACATAAGAAAGGAGGATCACTGCAGCAGGCCTGTTGGCCCATGCTCGGCAGGTCCTTTACAATTCATCCCACTAACGAAACATTTTCCCAACCCAGTTCTCAATGCTACCCAAGAAATAAGCTCTGATAACTCTATCCATTCATTTGCAAGTCCCACTCAAATCCAATCCCTCTCACTCATATATTTATCCAACCTAAATTTGAAACTAACCCAACTAGGTAGACTGTTCCACTCATCAACTACCCTATTTCCAAACCAATACTTTCCTATGTCCTTTCTAAATCTAAACTTATCTAATTTAAATCCATTACTGCGGGTTCTCTCTTGGAGAGATATCCTCAAGACCTTATTTATATCCCCTTTATTTATACCCATCTTCCACTTATACACTTCGATCAGGTCTCCCCTCATTCTTCGTCTAACAAGTGAATGTAATTTAAGGGCCTTCAATCTTTCTTCATAAGGAAGATTTCTAATGCTCTGTATTAATTTAGTCATTCTACGCTGAATGTTTTCTAACGAATTTATGTCCATTCTGTAATATGGAGACCAGAACTGAGCTGCATAATCTAGGTGAGGCCTTACTAATGATGTATAAAGCTGCAGTATGACCTCTGGACTTCTGTTGCTTACTTCTTGTTGGACTTCTGTTGCTTACTACTTGTTGGACTTCTGTTGATATAAATCCCAATAATCTATTTGCCTTATTACGTACGCTTAGGCATTGCTGTCTCGGTTTAAGGTTGCTGCTCACCATAACCCCCAAATCCTTTTTGCATTCTATACTGCTAAGTTCAACATTATTAAGCTGGTAGGTGCTAGGGTTATGAACATTTCCGAGCTTTAGAACTTTACATTTATCTACATTGAACTGAATCTGCCACTTTTCTGACCACGAATTGAGTTTGTCTAAATCCTCCTGAAGTTGTGAGACATCAACGTTTGAATCGATTATCCTACCTATCTTCGTGTCATCAGCAAATTTGCTTATGTCACTAGTAATTCCCTCGTCAAGGTCGTTTATATATATTATAAACAACAATGGGCCTAAAACTGATCCCTGCGGAACGCCACTTGTTACAGATCCCCACTCAGATTTAACCTCATTTATGCATACTCTCTGCTTCCTATTAGTGAGCCATGACTCGATCCATGACAGCATTTTTCCCCCAATGCCATGGGCAGCCACTTTCTTCAACAGTCTCTGATGTGGTACTCTATCAAAAGCCTTACTAAAATCTAAATAAACAATATCAAATTCTTTATCCTCATCAACGGCCTCAAAAACTTTGCTGAAGAAGGTTAATAAATTAGTTAGGCAGGAACGGCCCCTGGTGAAACCATGTTGAGTATCATCAAATTATGCCTATCGAGATGGCTTCTTATATTATCAGCTATAATTGACTAGTAATTTACCTACAATTGAGGTTAGGCTTATTGGGCGGTAATTTGACGGTAACGACTTGTCCCCTGTTTTAAAAATAGGAATTACATTAGCCATCTTCCACATATCAGACACTACACCTGTTTGAAGAGATAAATTAAAGATATTAGTTAAAGGTTCACAAAGTTCCATTTTACACTCTTTAAGAACCCTTGAAAAAAGTTCATCAGGGCCCGGGGATTTATTTTGCTTTAATCGGTCTATCTGTTTGATAACCATTTCGCTGGTGACTGATATTGCATAATTTATCATCTTTAAGCCAACTATAAAAATTAATTACTGGGATATTGTCAGTGTCTTCCTGAGTGAAAACCGAGAGAAAATAATTATTAAGAATAGAGCACATTTCATTCTCCTTGTCAGTGAGATGCCCAGAGTTATTTTTAAGGGGACCTATCTTATCTCTAACTTTTGTTCTATAAACCTGGAAAAAACTTTTTGGGTTAGTTTTTGAATCCCTAGCAACTTTAATTTCATAGTCCCTTTTAGCTTTTCTTATCCCCTTTTTAACGTCCCTCTTGATGTCAATATACTGGTTCATAAGATGACTCTCAAGGGGTAATGCTAAACTCTCCGGGATAATTCAACGCCAGTCTTTTTCATGGTGAGGAAATGGTATGGTGATACCGACAAGATGTGGAAAAAGACACTTATGTACAGTTCAGGACATTTATTAAAGGAAACGTTTCGCCACGAGTGGCTTCTTCAGTCCTAATGTATTAGGACTGAAGAAGCCACTCGTGGCGAAACGTTTCCTTTAATAAATGTCCTGAACTGTACATACGTGTCTTTTTCCACAACTTTTTCATGGTGCCTGACCTCTTACTGTGGAAAACATTAAGAGGAATGAACGGGAATGCATTCATCCAAGACACTTTTACTGAAAACGTTTCGGTCCTTGGACCTTGGTCACTTGAAATGCATGAATATTTGAAAATGGAAAATATGTTAGGTAAAAGGACAAAAGTGCAACTAATGCGACATTTTGTTGTGCCAACGTTTCGCTTCCAGGAGCTTTGTCAAGCTAACATATTGTCGGTAATTCTACAAACATTATGGAAAATATGTTGTGGAGTGTAAGGTCATCCTGAGGTGCTGTGCAACTGGTGTCTGCCGCCTCTACCATTTCCTCTCTGAAACAGGTTTTGTGGGGTGTGGAGGCGTCGTCTGCCCCAGATGGTACGACATCACATAATTTAAAGTTGTGGAGGGGAAGTATGGAGAGTGGTTGAGGGAGCCTCGAGGCGTAAGTGGTAGCGCCTTCAAGAAGGGAAGAAGAGGTGAAGGAGGGTAGAAAACGACTGGAAAACGGAGGCTGGAACAAACGGTGGAGGAAGAAAGTGAAGGATGGGGAAGAAAAAGAAGGTAGAGGGAGACTGAAATGAATGAAGGAAGAAAAGGAAGGATGGAGGGAGATTGAAAAGGATGAAGGGAGACTGGAAAGGATGAAGAAAAGGAATGATGAAAGAAGACAAGAAATGATGGAGGAAAAC